ACTTATGAGAAATATATTTTATCATAATCAAAAATTGTCATATATAGCTCTGCTACAAGTTGATATTCCAAAGTACACAGAGTACCCAAAAATCCCATCAGTAAATTCCACATTGTAGTACAGCCAGGAGTGAGAATCACACTTATTGCCCGTGTTCACACCAACATCTAATATCTTCCATGCGTTTTTCCAGCCGTTCTACTCGTACACGTAAACCCTCTGCAACAGAAGAAGAACCTACTTTTAGTGCGCGAAAATCTCCTTCCAGGTAATTGAGTTGCTCTATTTTCCAAATTTATTTTTCGTTACCTGACTATTGTTTGTGAACTCTGAATGTAAAACCATTGGCAGAAGAACGCCGACTCGCTCTACAACAACCACTATAGCTACGACTGATAAAACTGGAAAGACCAGAGCTGCGAAGGCTTTGCAGCGTAAGTGAAGTTTTATTCAAAGCAGACCTCAGTAATTTTTTTGCAGCGGAATTCGATGCTGCTACAAATGCCTTAGGAGATGTGGATGCTCGCACATATTTTGACGTAAGATTTCTGAAGTATTTCTCTTGTTCCTTACAATAAAATCAAATTTCTTTGCAGACAGTATTAAAGAAGTACGTTGGTAGACCGGGAAGTGGAAGCAATAGAAGAAGAACCAGATCAGGTGAGATTCTTCTGTAGTTACTTTCTTCGTACCACTGAAACTCACATCAAAGGCTTTCAGTTTCGATACTTACGTCATCGATAAAAATCAATCTGAATGATCTACTCATCTAGGTTATAAAAATCTTAAATCGTGTACTGGTATAGTCAGGTACACACTAACTGACCTAATTGTCAAGGAGTTTCTTTTTAAAACTTTTGCTTAGGTTGATTTTTCGGAGAAAACGAGAGAAAGAAACGTATTGGTATCACTGTGTGCCACTCTTTTTTTTTTGACACTTTTCCCTGGCTCCTATGTAATTTCCAGATTCCGAAGTACCCGATGTTAAACCAATGAAGGTTAAAAAAATGAATGTTGAAGAGACTATCCTAGAAGTGGACGAAGAGACTGGTGAGTTAGCATGTTAGACTATCTGAATGCAAATTAACTTTGTATTAAGATGCTCGTACCACCAGGGGAAGACAGAAAGCATCAACACAAGCAACTGAAGAGGTAAATCTTTATTTTAAAAAAAACAACAACAATGTTGATGATTTTGAAAGTAATGCCCTAGGTGTTTTTTTTTTGATTCGCCAATAAAAGGATTTCTTGTTTAGAGCAAATTTCTTAGAATTTTAAATCGAATAAGTTTCTCATGCCATGGTAATATTCCACACAAAATACCAGGTGAAGATGGACGTCCGTTATATGTCCTCACTGACAGACAGGAAATGATCCTAAGCATGGTTCTGCGCAAACGGAGCAGTTCCGCTAAGGGCCAATGGAGGGTGACAATCCTTGAAAACAGCTTTTTCTGACGTTTTAACTATCCTTTTTTTTCATATAAATGAGGGTTCTCTAAGCCGTCTAGGATGGGACAGATGGGCATTTTTGTTGGAGTTCTTTCCTAGAATATTTTATCTTCCGCCACAAAGTTCTAGCCGTTTTTCTGCAAACCCTCCCCACTCCCCTCCCCCGCGCCTCCGCGTTCCCCTCTCCTAATTGGGAAGAGAACAAACACTGCAGCGCTCAAGCGATCTGCCCAACTAAGTTTAGTTAAGTGACACACGTCGATAAATTTTACAAACGCTTACGTAATACACTTATTTGTGTGACTTTTACTTATTCAGTCTCGGAAACGACCATTTGAGTCAGCTTGAGCGTCGTGAAAATGGAACATTGTAGTGGTCACACTTCTACCCCCTTCCCCCCTAATCTTTGCAGCAGTAAATGATTTGCATATCCTCATCTGGGTGGAAATGATATGTGTATGATACGACGCGACACTCTTCTCAGATATCGTTTGTAATGTTTAGGGAACATCAGCTGCACAGTCACCTTCACGTTCAAGACGTGCTTCTAGCGTCACGATAGGGGAAACTACTCCCGGAAGAAGGCGTCGAACTAGTGGTACGTATTCATCACGGTCGATCTTTGTTTTTTTCTTTTCATTTTTCACACCAAACAAAGGTGTATTTGTTGGTGGTGCAATTAGAAACATTTTGCATCTTCGAAGGTGCGTGTGATAACTTACAGTGTCTTTGATCCATAATATGTTATAGGATCATCAGTCTCTTCGGTGGGTACATCGTCTACATCGAAATCTCCCAGTCGACGTGGACGACCGCGAGGGATCGAGACAATTCCTGAGTAAAACACCACTGGTAACTTTTTGTAATTTTAGCTTTAGATTCAGTAATGGTTTGCAACTGTAATGTATTACATTTGACCTTTTTTAATCAAACATTGTACTTGATTTGACCATAGTAAAATCGGAATGTGGCTACTAACGTGATCTTGTCGTTATGTAAGAATAAATTTATGATATGTATTTTGAAGTTGCGAATAAACGAT